TATTCGACTGATTTCGATCAAATTTTGTACATCGCCAAGTAAAATTGCATTCTTTAAAATAATGTAAGAAATTGTATCTCTTAATGTTGAGATTTTTACCGCTAATATTAAATAAAAGAATAATAAATGAAAAATATTTTCTAAAAGTTATTATTTGCATGGGATTATGTTGGATAAAAAAATTTATAATTGTGTGAAAAATGGGCGGGGTATGGCGAAACACGAAGAAAGAAAAATAAATATTTAAGGGTGCTATACTGACTAAACTATTAAGACCTTATCCCCAAATTGCCGCAATCCCCTACATTTTGAAAGGCAAAAATCTGAAACCGAGGGCAAGAAAAGCATGTTTATTTGGAGAAAGTAAATTTTTGTGAATGATTTCGCAAAAAAGCGTCTGCATACATTAATTAGTTCATATGTAGTCACGCCCTGAACCATTAAAATTAAGTTCAATAACGTAAAGATCCGATCATTAGATCACAAGTTATTCAGAGTGGAGAGTTTTTTTTTTGTGCTCCGTATACCTATAATTTGAGCCACGGGGAATTTTTGACAACGTTTAACAAAAACATATCACATTGACAAATAATATACTGACTTTGGACAAAATATTCAAGTTCTATTAATTCTATTTAAATAATCACAATTATCTATTCAAACAATAATCTATTCATACAATTCTATTCAAATAATATTTCTTTCAGCAGAAAATGTTTTTGAAAGAATTTACTCTCAAAACTTTTGGCACACTTTGAAGGATCATGCTTCAATCTTTTAGAAATTTGACTTCTTTTTACCCATATAAAATTTGCCTCGAACAAAATAAATGTAGGAAGTTAAAATCTGATTTTTTCTTCAATACAGCTATAATTTTAAAAACATTCCCACATAAATATCGTAATCCTTCAGAATGATTTCAAAATTGCTGGTATAAAAGCTAAAAAGAAGTTATTAATTTCCTTTCCTCAATTTGATAGATCTGAATATAGCATGTTTAAAAATGACATCATTTCTAAAAGCTTGAAGCCATGATCTTTCAAATTGCGTCAACAGTTTTGGCTTGTAAATTCTTTCCGAAACATTTTCTGCTAATGGAAATATTGTTTACATAGAGTCAAAAATAAAAGTGTCTCCATATTTCTGTTCGATCCCTTAATTTTCTTACAGGAAATTCTTTTCAATGATTCGCACAATTTAAAAAAGAAATCTTTCAATACTTCAAAAAAAAAAACAATTATTTCTCTAATATGTATTAATTAAATTCATCAAGAAATTCAATATAAAATCAAGAATAATATTATTTATTCAATATGAAAACAAAATAAACTTTGAAACATTCTAAAATAAACTCATGAGTGAAATCCTGAAAACAGAATATTGCTTCATAATCAAGTTTTTTAGTAATGTTCTGTAATTAACAGAGTAAATAAATAATATTTAATTTCAACCTCTCTTAAAAGTGAACTTCATGAAATGGAAATAAATGAGAGTCTCAACCGTTTGTGACACTTTGCAAGGAAATTTAATTAAATTTAGGAGACATTTAAATGGAAAATTCAATCAACGTCACTATCAGAAGCTTCGACTCTCGAGAGCAATAAAAATGCCTTAAATTAACAATGAAACACACGATCCTATAAAACTTTATTTATTAAGTAGAAACGTAATTTTTAATTTTGATGGATTTTTGAACTCAGTTGTAATATTGTTTTTTATTTCGAACACTTTTGGGATCAAGATTGATGAGCACGATTAAGAATTTTCAATTGGCAATACACATTAAAAATATAGCTGATATATATTAGGTAACAAATATTTCAAACATGGTCCCATTAGCTCTTTGACGCAGATGGGACTCCGTTGTCCCTTTTATACATATATATATATATATATATATATATATATATTATGTCAAAAAAAATCGAAAATTGAAAATTTTGTTAGGAAAAACCCTAGAGGCCACTCAATATTTCTTTTCTCCTTCTAATAAACGATAAGAATAATTTTTATTGAAAATTATTACGATGCACGTTTTATTTGAATGATAAAACAGCCTTTCATTCCAAAAACAAAATTATTTAGTATTTTTTAAACCATATTTTTGAGGATGGTTTAATTACTGGAGTAAGCTAAATCTGACCTGAATGAATTGTGAAAACGTTGAATAGAATGATATGAAAACCACACTTTTGCGTAACATGTGGCAAAAATCAACATGGTGAAGAAAAAAAAATCTCATATTAAATAAGGGTATATTAATCACTATTTAAAAGCCTCCAATGAAAAATAGCACCTTGAAGGGCTTTTAAAAACGCACCATGTTATAAAAACAAGTCGTGACATGATGATAAAAAATCTATTGTTTAAATAAAGTAGCGAAAAAAAAAGAAACTCACAGTTCTTTGGTTTTGCAATGTGCTGTCCAGTGGAATCACTGGGTTGACCTGAACCTCCTTTATTGATGGCTCTCACTCTAAATTCATAAACACCATTTTCCATCAGGTCCCGAATCACGGCGCTCGTCTGATCAGCCGGAACTTCCTGAACAGCTGTCCAATCGGGGCTGTGAAAAAGAAATTCAGTTTACAATATGCATTGAAAGCACACACACTTTTGCATGCATGAAATGGACAAAAAAGCGGAAACCTGAGAAGCTTGTCCTTCTTTTCAATGACATAACCTGTTATGGGAGATCCCCCATCATTTTCTGGAGCTGTCCATTTCAGTTTGACGAAGTCTCGATCGTAATCTTCGATTTCCGGGGTTCCAGGTTTTCCAGGCTCATCTGAAGTCATAATCAATTCAAATGAAGTCAACATATTCGGATGTCAGATTTGGGACACATCTCAAAATGAGTATTTAAGAAAATAGCATTTCATTCCGGTTTTCAAACTTCCTTTTAATCTTTTAAGGCAGAATTTCAGTAAACATGCTTAAAATTATTTTGTATTCATTTTAGTTAAAAGAAGCGAAAAACATTATAAATAACATTTTATTAATGGATGGTTTTGATCGGGAATGTCCCTTTCTGCTTTTCAAATTTGACTCATTTTCAGTCATTTGCAGTTATTTAGAGATATAGTTATGCTCCCATGAAATTTCTTTAATTTACAAAATCAATTATTGATACATTTTTGACTATGTATGAAAAAAAATAAACTACTTTTTTGCATTTATAATTTTAGTACAAATGATTTTGATAATTTAACAAATTCTTTTTAGTAACTATGACTTTTTATAAGTAAAAATACCAAAGTGCATCAGTTGAGCAGCAGAAAAATTATAAAAGGGACACTGTCGTCTTTTCGAAAGGGTTTAGAATCATCTAATGAAACCCAATAGATTCGTAATGTGTCCATTTTCAGGAAAACACTTTAAAAGTCAACACTTCAAGTTTGCTATTAAAGTGGTAATAAATTTACGTTATGAAATTTGAAGTTTTAAAAATTCGAAGACATCTTCTTAATACCTACCGAAGGGATTCTTGGCCAAAATAGCTTTATCTGTTTCCAATGGAAGGGATTCTCCCTGTCTGTTGGCAGCTTTTACTCGGAACTTGTATTTCTTACCTGGCTGCAATCCCTTCACCTGCAAATACAAAGTTTACTTTTTCAGTGCACCAAACTCTACTTCCTACAAAAAATGCTTTACTTATTCATTTGAATTCGAAATTCATTTTTACACCAAAGATCCTACTAGAACACTGTTTTTGTTCTTAGCAAGAAACCAATCTGTTAATAACCTCTTTAAAAAAAAGTCAGTGGGGACAGCCACTGCTGAACTTTTTTTTGTATCATTGATTTATGACGATATAATGAAAACAGTCTAATGCAAAACAAATCTATGAAATTCAAAAAGCGTCTTTTTGTTTTCAGAGCCGTGTGATAGCTCAGGTGATAGAGCATTCGCCTTCCAAGGAGGTGAAGCGGGATCGAATCTCAGCGGGTCAATACGAATTCCGGCTTGCACCGACCTACAGTTCTTATGACAATCTAATGTAAACTCTATCACAAAGCGTCTTATTGTGACTCAATGTTTTCATTCATTTTGCAGCCATTGAAGGCAGAGAGAGTCGCCATCATTCACATGGGTGCGCCCATCATTAGTTTGTTTAACCACATCATTTTATCACTCATTATACTCCACCCCCCCCACCAATCCTAACAAGTTGAGCCGCGATGGCTTAGGGGATAGAGCGCTCGCCCTTCAATGCGGTGAACCGGGTTCGAATCCCAATTATGGCTGGTCAATGCGAATCTGTATCCAGCTCGCACCGACCACAGTGGTGACGTGAAATATATTCAGTGGTCAACGAATCATGGCTTAGAAGTCCCCTCACCATCAGGATAACCGTGGGAAATTCTCGTGATCTTCCTCTCCATGCTGGTGAGTTGCATCAAAATTTCGCCCCATACTGAATTCAAGAGTTCCCTTGTCATCTGGATAGGGTTCAAAATGACAAGACTTGAACATTGGTAGTCGTAAAAACAAACATTGGGTCTGCTGTTCAACGAAGGTTATAAAATAAAATCCTAACAAGTTGACGAAAGATTTCAGCTGACATAATATTCTTTGCAAAGCAGTACAAAACACAGTTTAACATTTGGCAAGTCGGCAATAGTCTTAAGCTCTCTGAATGTTTCCTGACGCATAAAAACGCAACACAATCCGGCTGTCATGACGTTAGCGGAGAAACAATCAACACCAGAAACTAGATCAACCAGAAACGTGTGTGAAAACTGTACCACTACCTCCGTGGTGGTAGTAGAAGGAAACTGTTCTTACTTTTTGGACACGCCTCGTATTAAATAAATAGCTACTAACATAATACCAAATCCTTTCCTTAAAAAAACAATAAACAATGTAACAGGCAGGTATAAATTAACAACACTGTATAATTACCCATTCTTATTTACTGTGTACCTGTAAAAATTGCGCTTACCGAAAGTTTCAGTAAATTGGATATGCCAATGAGAGAAAAAACACATGTTATTATCAACTACAGACCTTAATCCTATGGCACCAAATACAGGTGAATTGAGCCAAAACAATAGTTTACTCTGGGGATAGATGTGTCTCAGTTCAGGACGGGGGGTGGGGGGCATGATTAGTGTTCCCGGGATACTTGCGTGGTACTCACTGAGTAGTTTTGGAATACAATTTAAGAAAAACTATTTTTTAAAATTTATTTTCATTTAAATCAACAGCTTATTTTAAAAGTTTTCTCTAATACTCCTCAATTTTTATGAGTAAACTTTTTTTGTTGTCTGAAGACGAGGCGAAAGGCGTGGTTGTAGTCACCGGTTAAGCATTTGGTCAATTTTTTGTATCCAATAGCTGAATGGAATTTCATAAACGCATTTGATGTCGTGGGTGGAAAAAATGCATCCATTGTCCGCCATTGGGTTGAATTTGTTTTCAATTTCAGACATTCAAAATACATCAGTCAATTCTTTTGTCTCACACTATTCATATTTATATTAAAGTCACAGGCCAAAACAGAAATTACGAATAAGTTTATTATAAATGAATATTACGGTAAAACATTAAAAACGTGCGCTGGTGAAAATAAAGGTTGATATTTTTCTTGCAATCCTACCATACTATTTTTCCTTTGCCATAACCACATTTCTATGTTTTTATTCATTAAAGATAACAAAAGTACGAAAATTTGTATCACAAATTAATGATTATATTTCACTTTCCTTCGTTAAGTGGCAGACAATAAAGGATTTTCTCTTGCGTTAAGTGAATGCTAGTATAAGTATATTCGTGTTACTTTATCATGAGCTTTCAGGACTATTAACACATTGAATGCCCGCGCTAATTTTTACATGGCTTGCTCTGTCTGGTTACACGGTAAATAACTACAAACTAAATATGCAAATATTAGACAGATTTTGCTTGTTTTTCTATTTAAAAGTTTAGCATGACATATCTGTAAAAAGCATATAAGCCTACGAATTGTATAGAAATAGTGGTGGATGAAAATCTACTGAAATTTGAATTTATTAAACCAAGAATCACAATAAACTACCACTTGAAAATATTTATTCGCTGTCCGGAGCAAGTTGGCATCTCTGTGTATATATAAAGCTATTTTTGTGCGCTCTACACTGCATTCATTTCTTCAAACCATTTTAGTAAAGATAATAATATTTTTAAAAAAATTATGTGTTTCTAATTAATCTTGGCGGTTACCCCCATGGCTTTCAACGTGCTTTTACAATGGATTGGTCACATGTTACCACTAAAAAATGCCCGTGAATGTGAATCAGTTAATTATTTAGTAAATTTAAGTGTTTTCTATTGAAATACATTTGAAAAAACTTTAAAAAATGGTGACTGTCGTAGTTCTAAATTGCAAGAGGAGAGCTCTACCTTGAGTTCTGTCTGGGGAGTTTCACCCAGAGAAGTCCACACACCGGTGTCCTCGTCCATTTTCTCGATGACATAATGTTCTAAGGGTTGACCACCGTCATCTGAAGGAGGTTTCCATGACAACATACACCCATCTGCTGTCACATCTTCCACTTTCAAAGGACCACCAGGAGGAGAGGGCTTGTCTACAGAATGATTACAAATATGAATAGACCCAATATCTGGCACACTTATAATTAATAAATATACAGTCAGACTTCTATTTAACGAACTTCCATTTTGCGAATTGCTCTATTTCGCGAATTTTTTTCGAGGAACCCAGAACATTTTGGAAATTTCTTCGTAAAATAACTTCCAAATAGCGAAGTGAATTCTCCATTGAACGAACTTTTATTTCAGATCCACTTTCCCTATTTTCCAAAATATTCTAGAACATTTCAAAAAAAGTTTTATGGGGGAAATGACCTTGAATGGATTGTCGCAGCCACTTCATTCCCTTCTTGTTTGCATTTCAAACGAAAAACTCAGACAAAACAGATTTTATCAGTAGCAATTACATTTAAGAACGCGTAAGATAATGTATGTTTGAAATTACTTTTATAATAAATGCAGCTATCATTTTATACATAAACTTTTGTGTCTATGAATTTAAAATCTGTTTTGTGTTATTCAAGCATTTCAAAAGGTGATTTTCTCTTCAGCGAATTTTCCATATAACAAACTTATTATCGGGATTTAGTGACCTGGTTAAATAGAGGTCCGACTGTATTTATAAAAGTTCTAACTTTCAATGAAACTGATCAGAATTTTTTGATTTAATAAAAACACAGACCTGCCCTGAGTCAGCATTATTAAACCTTGCCACCTTAAACAAAAAAATAATGAATAAAAGAAGAATTACCATAGACAAGTGCTTCGACCTGTGCTTCATCTTTTCCGTGTTCATTGAAGGCCAGCAATGTGTAGATGCCATTGTCATCTCTCCTACATTTCCTGACCGTTAATTTCGTGCTGTACTCTTCATTGCTAATTTTAATGTGTTCACTGGGTTGGAGGGTATTGTCTCTGAGGGACCACTGCAGGGTGGGAGGGGGTTCACCGATGACGCTCGCTTCGAAGTGGAACGTCTTTCCAGCCTTGACACGAATTTTGTTTAAGGTGGAACGATCGATTTTGGGTGCAACTATTTAAAAAACACAGAAATAGATATTTAAAGTATCAGTTAAGTAATCAATCACATCAGTTAAGTAATCAGTCAAATTTTCATTTAAATTAATAATAATAAATTAAAAATTTGTATAAGATATTTTTTTAAAAAGAAATTACGACTCATTTTATGGTATTAAAAGTGGATATGAAACATTTACGACAAAACTCTTTCAGGGTGCGCAGCCAAATCTTTCAACAAAAAATAAGCACCTCTTAAGTGCTTTTTAAGCATTCAAAAATATTTTTAAGCATTCAAAAGTATTTTTAAGCACTCTATATATTAACAAAATGCAAAATAATTTTCAAAGGCTTTACTTGATCAAGATAAAATAACCAGTTTCTGACAGAGAACTCTTTTCTAGATTATACTAGCTGTTATAAAAAAGATCGAAAGGTTCGATATCAGGCTGTGGAAGCCTGAAATTTACAAAATGCGGCAGAGTTGCACATGGGAGTGCAAGAATCTTAGTGAACCCAGCTCATTATACTCGCATGTAGACCCGCAAGTATTTCATCAAACATGTAAAATGATGGTCATATCCTATAGACAGACGGAATGCCAAAATGCGTCGTGTTTGAATGAATCGTAAAAATGTTGAATAGAACAATATGAAAAAGCACGCGTTTCCATAGTGTGAGTGGAGAAAATCGACATGGTAAGGGAAAAAAAACTTTCATTTTCGAAAAAGGAAAATGAAGCACTTTTCAAAAACACCGAATGAAAAAAGCACCATAAAGGGATTTTTAAAAAAAAACGAGATAAGCATTTTTTTAAAAAAACTCTACGCACCATGTCCTTACTATTGAAACAGATTATTTATAGTTTTGTTTAAGAGAATCTAAACTTTATGATAATATCAATTTCATACATTCCACCTCCTCTGCTCTGTTTAGTAGTAGTATTCAACGAAAGCTAAAATTGAAAGAGCACATAAATTATAGAGCCATTCTATTGAACGAGTTAACAAATAGGGAGCTCTTCCTGAAGACTAAATTTGATAGCGTACATTTCATTATAGTTAGGATTTTCAAAAAGGTAAATAAAATGTTTTATTTTAAATCGCCAGAATGATCTTACGTTTTCTAGGCTTTGCTGTGACGGGTGGTGTTGCATTACTGGGCTCTCCTGGTCCAGCTTTGTTGACCGCCTTCACTCTGAACTCGTACTTCTGACCCTGCACCAAATCTGGTACAGAAGCCGTAGTCTGGTCAGCAGGCACTTCCATCGCCTTCTCCCAATTTCCCAGTTTATCTTTCACTTCCACTAAGTAGGAAGAGATGGGAGATCCCCCGTCACTTTCAGGGGGAATCCACTTGAGGTCAATGTGGTCCTTGTCCCAATCCGTCACTTCTAAATTACCCGGTTTGCCTGGTTCATCTGTAATTGAAATGTGCTGATTAAATACAGAGCTGTTTCAATCCAGACTCAATTGTTCACTCAGATTTATGAAGTCCTTAAAGTAAAACATTTTGAAGCAATTTTGTGCACTAGACTTCAAATCTATCATTGAAAAAATTCAACAAAAATCTTTAAAAAATCAGAAAAATGGAAATCCGGATTGGAGTAAGAATCTCATACCTAATACTAACAATCAGTATCAAATGAAAAAAGCGTTGTTTTGAGAGTATTTTACTGAGTAAAAACTATTAGACTTAGAAATTAAAAAATACGAATAAAATATCTGACTGTTAAGCTTGTTACATTTACTTGTTGCATTTACTGTTGAGCTTGTTAAAAATATGGTACGGGGGCTTTACAGAACACAACTGCAGGCTGAAATTTGAGATGATGTAAGGGCCATATTTAATTACAGAGATGCCAACTTGCTCCGCATTGCAAAATACAAGTAGTACTTTCTAGCGGTAGCGAAATTTAGGTTATTTCTGCTTCGTATTTTTAATTAATTTTTCCACCACTAAATATCAAAACTTATAAGAATCATATAACATGCAACCTAAAAGCATTAATTATTTGGTTNCATCGTTTTTCCTTCTTTTTAAGATTATTTCCAAACATTTTTTTTTAGTTGGGTTTAACACTAAAAAAACGGCTTTTTGTAGCGATTCAGAAAACCGGAAAAATCAGTTATCCGGAATAGCGATGGTCCCGATCGTTCCGGATAATCGGCTCCCTACTGTACTAACAATCAGTATCAAATGAAAAAAAGCGTTGTTTTGAGAGTTCAATTTTATTTTACTGAGTAAAAACTATTAGACTTAGAAATTAAAAAATACGAATAAAATATTTGACTGTTAAGCTTTTTACATTTACTTGTTGCATTTACTGTTGAGCTTGTTAAAAATATGGTACGGGGGCTTTACAGAACACAACTGCAGGCTGAAATTTGAGATGATGTAAGGGCCATATTTAATTAGAGAGATGCCAACTTGCTCCGGACAGCAAATATATATTTTAAAGTGGTAGTTTATCAATTGTGATTCTTGATATAATAAATTCAATTTAGTAGATTTTTATTCAGCACTATTTCTAAATAATTCGTAGGTTTATATAATTTACCACTTTTCACTACTCATGTCATTCTAAACCTTTTAAAAAGCAAGCAAAAATAGTCAATTAATTTCAAAATTTGCTTTGTAGTTATTTACCGTTTATTTAATTATTTCGGCGTGTCCGGAGCAGTTGGCATCTCTGTAATTATAAAATAAATACGAGAATTTTTTTCTTTAAAATTGTGATTTGTTTGAAAGTTACTGCAATTTAATTATTTTCTTCTTCCTCCTATTATATATTCTTCGCTGCATTAAAAGCATACAACCAAAAAACTGTTCTTTAGAAAGTTCGGTGAAATGCAGAAAGGCGTACAGGAAGTATTTAACATTCGATAATTTGTTTGAGAATAATAACTGTTTATGTTTTCAAGCAGTTTGATCCGCCATAAACTCATCTGTGGGGTCGAAAGAGATTTTTATGAATCTGCTTTTTTTGTTTCTATTCTATAAGAGTTATAACAAATATCCTTTAATGAGTCCTCATATATTCGTTTTAAGTTACTTTAATTCAATTTGTTTTTGTAGATCGTCCTTTCATAACGACATTCTTAGTTGTAAATTTTGTTTACAAAATTTTTAAATGTTCCTTTTTTTGTGGAACGACTGTTTAGAAAAAAAACAATGATGAGAACGGGTAAATTGTGAAACCTGAATTATTTATTTCTTGCCTTATTAATATATTTATAGTTTTTTTATTAAAATTTTGGATCTTTATTCAATTTTTATCGATACATATAAGGTTCTAAGTACTTAAAAGATTCAAGATAATTTTGTAAAGACTCAGATTTCCTGTTTTTATATTTTCCGTCATCTAGTGATATGTTAACCTTAACTAAGTTAAAGGATAATTCCTAAGGATGTTCAGCATCATTTTTTTTCTTCTTTTATTGTAAAGAAGTAAAATAGTTTTGTAAAATAGAAGCGAGACACCCCGTGTTAAGGATCCCACTTAAGTTTTAATCTAAAAATACATTTCATTCTAATTTTGGATTTAATTCCAATGAATGACATTTAATGAAATAGGGTGAATTCACAACATCATGCAAATGATTTAAATAGAATTGTCTTTTTAAACTGAAAAAGAAGTTGGGAAATAGGATTACAAAACACATACCGAATGGATTTTTTGCAGTGATACTGTCCGATGTTTCCAGAGGTTCAGATTCTCCTTCCTTATTTAAGGCTCTGACGCGGAACTTGTATTTTTTGCCAGCCACCAATCCAGCCACATCCATACCTACAACACAAATGATCTCCTTTGGTTTTGAATCATTTTGTCTGCATAATTCACACACTTCGAATAATACTTGTTTTATAAATGAAAATTTAGAATTAGTTGTATTTACAGTTTGATTAAGAACTTTGAAAAGATTCCTTACAGCAATGGTAGGAAACGAGGTGTGTTTGTTTTGAGTGTTGAATCCTACTTTAAAAGGATGCTATACCACGAGAGTAACTTTGCGTCGCAAATTTTCTTTTACCTCCATTACTAATTTAAAAGAAAAAAAAAGGTAAGCTGAGGTCAATGCCACAAAGTTTCAATTGCCGAAAAATAAACATTCAAACTATCAAAATGCAAACAAATGATTGGAAGAGAACTTCTCTATTGCGTCATCTTAAGTTATCTTCACAAAATTTATTTTCATTTTTATATTTAAAAAATTCCCCTTTTCTGTTTGAAACTTGATAGCTTATTCTAGGTATGTCGGAACTCACTTTTTCTATACTTTAAATTTTAAATGAGTTAAGGAGAGAATTTATGACGAAAAGTTTCTCCCGTGTTATGGCGTCCTTTTAAGCGTTTCTACGAACTTACATTTCTATACATGGAAAGTTTTTTTAAGACACCATGTCGAATAATATTTGAAGCATTTAATTGAAATGAACTAGACATCATAGTGTTTAACTATTCCATTTCACTATTAATACATTCAATAACAATTCAAACTTCTGTTCCTTAAATAGGATAGCATAATAATGAAGAACTGAATATTTTTGAGACAACTCCGCTTAACCTGCAACTAAGCATTTAAATTTTATTTTAGTGATGAATGTTGAAGAGTGAATTCTTTCCATGGTATCAGTAATATTAAAAGGCAATATATTTATTACTTAGCTGTTTACAATATCAGTAATTACAATTAAATTTAGTATTTTTATCAGTTGAATCAATATAAATTTTAATATATTTAAAGCAATATATCGTACGAATTATGTATTCATAATAATTAAAAATATTTGAAAACAATTCAATGATGAAAAGATACAAAAATAACATCGGTTGCATATAAAACAGTAAACATAAGTTTTAGTATTAAATGTTAAATAATAAATAAAACAAACTACTTTTTTACTTTTGTATGATAGAGCTTTTAAATAATATCACAGTTAGTAGTTGCCCTGAAACTTGTGATTTTCTTGATTAAAAATATTATATCGTTGCTATATCTCCGTTATTTCAAGTTTTTTGTCCTGATATTTCTGATTTGTGTGTGTTTAGAGCTTCCTGTTTTCTACGAATATTAAGGTAGTTCTTAAAATAATCGATTTGAATCATTCAAACATTTTGATAATTGATAAAATATCTTTTTATTTCAATTACTTTTAAATACAAATGTTAAGACACATAGTTATTGTGTTTTTGTTTCAAAATTATTAAAAAAAACCTTTAAAATATTTGACTAAAGAATTCACGAACTCTATTGCAATTTTTAAATGAATATTGGTATAAAAAATATAAACTAGTTAATACTTATTATTTTTATTTAATGTACAGTATCATTGATATTTCCTAAATATTGATCTCAAACTTATGCGTTGCTCAGCATTCTACAAATAAAATTCTACTAGATAAAAATTGTGAAGTTTTTTTTTCAGAATAATGTAACTCTTTGGAATTAAAAATAGCATATGTTATTATTTGTTTGTAATAAAATTTGTTGTTATCGTACTTTAGTTGAGAAAATCACATCTATATATTTTTTTAGCTTGCCCTTTTTAAAAGTAGACTGTCATATATACTACACAAAAAATGTCCAGGCGTTTTCTTTAGCCTACTAAGACTGCAATTTACTCATTAACATAATGCAACAATAAATAAAATGAAATGCGAAGACACTATTGTAAATAAGTTCTAAATATTTTTAAGTTGAAACTGTTTTTTAAGCACAAAAAATGCATGTTGAAAATATTACAAAAATGAATAAAATCATAATACGACACAAATTTGTTTACCATGCTAACAGAGAAAATTAATCCGAAGTATAAACTTAGACAAGAGCTTTCCATTTACGCTTTGGATTGTAAGAAGCATGATGCGTCTTAAAAAAGATTTTAAAAAAAGTTTCTAACTTTTTTTTCTTTGCTTGTTTAATAATTACATTTATATAACTAAATTAAAAAACAATCAGCCAATGAATTTGCTGTATTTTGTTTTTAAAACATTTTACTGACATTTACTTAAAACATTTATTTTTAATTTATATTTTCGCAGGAAAGCTATGAAACATTTAAAAAGAAATGCAGTAGACTTACCGGGCTCTTTAGTCTTTCCAACTGGAACCCATTTTCCCGTTTCTTCATCCATTTTTTCCACTAAGTAACCATCTAGTGGAACCCCTCCATCATCCTCAGGTTTCTTCCATTTCAATGTGCAACCATTTTTATGAACATCGGACACTTCTAGTGGACCTTTTGGCTTCGATGGTTTATCTGAAGAAATTAATAATAAAATAGTCTGAGCTTTTATAATTGAAGAACCATTTGGACAGTAGCTGAAAGTGATAAATTCAACCCCCAAAGTTAGTTTCAAAATTTCGATCGAAAAGGATGTTAAAAAAAATAACGTTTTTTCATTATCATTAGTAATGTTTGCTGGCTCTCTTTAATTGAAAAATAACAGTTTCTTGCACATTTTTTAAAGTTCAATTATTTTTATTCGTTTTGTCAGTTAAACTCAATGATCATCGAGAACGTGATAGCATAGGTGAACTACATTATCAAATTAGTATTCCTTAAGTAATAAGGAGCTACGTGTTTACATTTTTTAAAAATAGGTACGCTTTTAAAACGTATTTCAATTAAACTAAACAATTTAAATTCAATGATATTTGAAATACAGAAAATAAGTTATGCATTGATAAATAAAATAAATCGTTTAGGAATAAGGAAGAAAAAACTGTTATACAATTACTGATGCTAATGATGCGTGATTAATTTCGGTGAAAGGTACTAATCGGAATATAAAATAAGCTATGCATTAAAGAAAAAATAGAAGATCTCCGACAGCTTCTTTTTAAATGTTAATAAAAGTTTTGAAAAACTAGTCTATTTGTTTTATTATGCGCAAAAAAAGTATAACAATAGCAAAAATATGAATTTTTTTTCTCCTTGAAATGGCAATATATAGAGACTATATTATACTGTATAATTCTGTATGAGAGAGAAAGTGTAAAAAGAGGAGTACCTTGTACATTGACAATGACGTATGCCGAGTCTCTTCCAGAACTGTTGGTTGCCGTCAAGACGAATTTTCCACTCTCCGCTCTCGTTGCCTGTCTTATCACTAGTTTTGTGTTATAATCCTCATTCGTCAACATTATACGATCAGATATCGCTTTGATCTCAACATCATTGATGGTCCAGATTTTGGATGGAGGAGGCTCACCCATCACGTTCACGTCGAATTTAATGGTCTGTCCAGCTTTTATTGTTATGTCGTTTAATGATCTCCTTTCGATCAAAGGAGCAACTGAAATGCATAAGGAAATAAATAAAATGCAATTAAAAGCAATAATAGCAGAAAGGCGATCACAGGTTCACCCATTAGCAAAACGGTTGTTGTGTCATTTTCCCCCCTCCAGTCTACGTTCTTTGACTTTTCAACCTCGGTAAGTTTAGGTCGCGGCATCGTTTTTTTTTTCATGCTTCAACTCTATCCTTTGGGATCCTCTTTATATGTGATATTTACCTGAATGAGTCTTGCAAACGGTACAGTTTGAACTGTGAGTTAGAATTTCTGATTCCTAATTGAAACAATAAAAACAAAAGTAGCGTTCAAATGATGACATTCTCTTTTATTCACAACTCAAGAAGTATGTATGGGACCTCTCTGGTCCCAATATCTCAAAAATAAACTCACCCACGTAATGCGTAACAAAATTAAAAGTGAAAAAAAAAACGAATTCTAAAAAAAATGATCAAACAGCAGCGGTCGCCATATCAACGCATGCCAGGACGACGCATGCGCAGTGTTTACTATGACTCTTGAACACAGTTGAAAAGCGTGATGACGTCCAAATAAGAAGCGCACGCCATCAAACCCAAAACAAGACCCATTTTGCCAATGGGTAATCAGTAGATGATAAATGTCTAAATATAAGGAGGAGTGAGAGAGACTTACGAAAACGTGGTTTTGCAGTGACAGTCTTGGATGCTTCGCTGGGTTCACCTGGTCCAGCTTTGTTGCAGGCGATCACTCGGAACTCGTACTCCTTTCCTTCTGTTAAGAAAGGGGCGGTACCTTTTGTCTGATCACCAGACACCTCCGCAGCCTTCTCCCACTTCTGAGATCCCTTCTCTCGCTTCTCAATGATGTAGTGGGTAATGGCAGCATTCCCGTCACTCTCTGGAGCCTTCCACGCTAAGTCCACGTGATCTTTATTCCAGTCCGTTGGTTCTGGAGTGCCAGGAGCCCCGGGTGGATCTCGAATAATAAAATAAGAAGTAAACATAATACACAATATCTCTCAAATGAGAATCTAAACTAAAGTTAAAGCTTTCTTAAGTATCTGTTTTAATGCAACCAGAGTATTAAGAATTGAGAAATTGGAAAGAAATGCAGCTCGATAACCGGTGTATTCTGTGCCTAATCAACACTGAATTACTTAAAACGAGAAAGACCTGTGGGGCCCTTTTTGTTTTCATAAGAAATTAATTATTATGACTCTTCCTCAATTGGGCATGCAGAGCAGACAACCCAAGTCCAAAATGAAGATCACAAGCAGAACATTAGGCATACACAACCTGCCCACCGACCAGATTGGCTAGGCCGCACCTGTAGCATTAAGACAAAACAGTGATGGCAACAACAAGAATCTGAATTTTAAAAAAAAAACAATATAAACAAATCAATTTTAAAATTCAATAACCCAGCACCGCCAACTTTCAGTGCGTTAGCCGATGGTCGGTGATTTATTGAGGACAACAAATAAATAAGTGATCGAAAGATACATAAAAGTATAAAATAATTGCTGAAAACCACCATATGTAAATAGGTAAACATTAAGACACAGTGTAAAAAATAGATTATAAAAAGACTAAAATCAGAAAAATAGGGGGACGAGATAAAAATTAAAATTGATCTGCTGCACACTTCAATCCAGATTCTGACCCGAGCACAAGTGTTCGTTTGGATTGCAGACGAATAAGAAGACTTTAAAATTGTGTTAATAGAAACTTTCAAAAAATAAGCTAGTTACAGCATTCAGTTAAAGTCGTCTAAGTAACAGTTTAATAAAGCAAAAGTCAATGAACTGATCAGATCACAAGTACAGGTAGACAAGCACATGACGAGGCACACTTCTATTTATAACGGTTTGGCGATGAAATCTCAGCTCGGTTCTAGACTATTCTCACATAAATATGGGTCATAAGTTTTGGTCACCAAGATTGTTGGTAAAAATATCGTTCAACTTATCTTGCCACAGAAAATACAGGCGTTATTTTTCTTTTTAAATTAAATAATCAGTTTAACAAGAAAAATTGCGTAGAGTCAGAAATCACATAAACGAAGAATAGTTACAAAATTATACACATATACGTGTGTGTAACTCTTCATTAAGAAAAGCAGCTAAACAAGAAAATAAAAGGAGCAACGTGAAAACACTAAAAAAGAGAACTCAATATTGGAAAGCGTCCGGCATATGTGTTTAAAATAAGTGTGTTGTAGTCAAGATTCTGGCAACTTAGTGCTATACATTTTCAATTTCATCCCTTTGTAAAAAAATCATTTCAGTTTATTTTTTTTACCGTTCATCACCATCATTTAAGGAAGTGTTTAACAATGAAAATACTTTTTACAGAATTGAATTAAATCAGACCAAAAAAAATAATTCCAAAAAGAGAGTCTAATTACCGAAGGGATCCTTGGCGACAACAGGGGCAAAAGTCTCCAGAGGTTCTGACTCCCCCTCTTTGTTGACTGCTTTGACGCGAAACTTGTAAGATTTTCCCGGAGTGAGACCATTCACCTCGCCTTCAGGTATGTGAGTCTTGGCCACGGGTATCCAAAGTCCTGTTTCCGGATCTTCTTTCTCTATCACATATCCTTCTAAAGGTTCACCACCGTCGTCCACAGGTTTATTCCATTTCAATTTGCAGCCGTGTTTATGGACATCAGACACAATGAGAGGACCTTCCGGCTTAGAAGGTTTAGCTGTCCATGAACATACAAAAATGTTAGATGGAAAAGTCTATTTATACTTTAACATTTTGCAATATTTTTTAAAACGAGGTATTTTCTATATGAGATGTTAAAAATTTTTTTTTTCTTCACAGGGATTTTTTTTTTTTAACTATTTGTTTTTAAATGAGTAAACTCTTTTCATTGAATACACGTAAAATTATAACTTCTTATACGATATTTTGATTCAAAAGAAGTCGCCCCAACTAAATAAATCTTTGTTTCGCAATTTTGTAAGGCAGTTCTTCAAAAAATGTATCACGAGTTTAAATTTTTTTTTTAGATTTCTAAATATTTAATTTTAAAATTTTTTCTTTAAAAAAATCCGTAAAATGTATCAATCAACGCTGATGTTTCCTTAATAGTCAATTTTACCTTTAGAGTGTGCAAGATAAAAAAAATAATCACCCTGAATAACTTCTAATCTAATATTTACGTATAGAGACTCAATGGTTCGAGGGGAACTAGTGCATAAACATACTTTTCAGGGGGGTTGTCACAAAATCGGAAATACAATCCCCATAGCTTGACCGGGATAGCATTTAGAAATGTCGACCCCTTAATTTCGGACTCTCTTCGTATTTCACCATCTCAAGAATTTAAGTGAAGCAAAACACATTTGCACACAATGATCAAACTATAGGTAATTATCCAAACTGCAGGGTATGATCCAAAAAATAAAATTTTAATAATTATTTCTTAAATTAATAGTCGAAAAAGTGAACTGTAATGCATGAAATTTTTTACATAATGTCAAAGAATGTAGTTTTATTTGGCACACTACAAAAGGATGAATAGTTTCTGAGAAAGAAGTAGTATTTTTCTGATAAATTGTTGAATCATAAAAATTCTAACGAAAAATATATTATGTACTTGTAGGGAACATTTGTATTCAAAGTGACCCTAAATGGAATGCTTTTTAAATAGAAGACTTACCGAGTACAGAGACTTCGACGTCTGCTCTGTCCTCTCCGTGTGCATTGGTGGCCACAATCCGATAGATTCCAGAGTCGATGCGTTGAGCTTTATCACAGACAATTTTCGTGTTGTATGGAATGTTCGTTATAGTGAGGTCTATTCTCTCTTCCACTTTCTTGTCTTTCAACAGCCACTGAACAGAGGGAGGGGGCTCACCTTTTATTTTAACGTCATAGCTGAAGGCTTGACCGTTTTTCAGGGTGATGGAGATAAGATTGCGGCGGTCAATTTTTGGAGCCACTGCAATATGTAGAAAGTGAGTACAACACAACATACACTAGATGTGATTTTCTTTTGTTTTTATAGTGTATGGATTATCATTATTAATTATAAATTTAATGAATGGATGCATTTAGCTGTTTATAAATTTAATCCCAATAATAGTGCATTTATTGGAGGCTCTTCTTCAAAGCAAGAGAAAAACTCAGATGTTACCTCTTTTTTACGTCAGGTATATTTTCTTCATTATGTGAGGTTTTTTTTTCAATTATTATTTTATTTATAGTTTTAAGACACGCGTGTTTCAGGGATTCCTACTTATAAATTATGTTTCTGTTATTTATTGGCATTATTCATTCACTTTTAATAATAGATAATGTATTTTCATCATCAATTTATTTGTTTTTAAATTATATATTTAAATATTATTTTTTGATGAGAATGAAAATCTTAATTTTTGATGAAGGCATGCGAAATGAAGGCAATATGAAATCATATTAATAAAATAAATAATATTAAATAAATGAAATGTTACAAGATGAATAATCCAATTAAATTTATAATCGAAAAATGACCGACTATACTATGAAAAAATGAATCAAAACTGAAAAATCCCTCCAAAATAGAAGAATATAGAAGATGTAGAGGAGCCCTAATTCTGTTACAGTCTAATGCAATGAAAGATATGACATTCGTTGAACAACCTTCACTGAAAACTTGGGATTAAAAAAAATTAAATTTATAGTATAAAAAATAATTATATTTATAGATAAAAGCAATTAATAATGATAAAAAGCCTCTACAGCAGTAAAAAAATATAATAACAAAAAATAAACTATTTTAGTGCAACACGAGATGTTACATTTGATGAGTCACGTCAGTTCTACTGTGGCCGTATCCTTAAAAATCCAGAAGAGCCATAGCGAAGAATTCTCCTATTTGGCTACAGGTGTTGTATAGAAGGTATCTTCAATACAATGACAAAAAATGGGGAGCAAAAAAAGAAAATTGCGGAAGGAAAAAAAACACACATTTTTTTCAATATATTACTATTGAAGTTTATTTCAACCTGAAAGAAAAAAGCAATGTTTCTTTTTAAACCTTTTAAATTGAATTATCATTAAAAATGTTTGAAATATTTATTTTTCTATAATGTAAACAGAAAGTAGTAAAATAACAACTGTCAATCGAATTTATACGCATTTTAATGTTTTATTTAAAACACAAAGCAAATGTTTAAACGGCATTTGACAGCCTATTTACTTTTGCCCAGTTCTACCTCATACGTCTTTGAAGATGATACATTTATAAATTACTTACGATAAAATTTTGAGCTTGCTTAATTCACTTCACTCTTTTCAACGCTCATCAAAAACTAAAAATGCATTTAAATAAATTTATAAACTGGAATCCGTATTGAAAATTCCTGCGTTTTATTATTAAAAATGAATCAGTTCATCAGAAATTTAGAAATCTAAATCAAGTGATCTTTCAGTTAAAAAGCGGATAGCATTTCCTCCACTAGAGCTAAAACATTTTATTATTTTCTAAGTCAACAAGCAATACATATGAAAAAAAATTAAAGTCCATTCCTACTTAAGGTCTGGTTTCTTAAGACAAGCGCCTTATCTGGACGTCAGCGGGACGTTGACGTACCGCTGACGCCAACAAAATGCTGGTTTGTTAGCTCAAGGCCTGGTTTCTTAGGACTAGCGCCTTATCTGGGCGTGAGCGGAAAGTTGGCGTAGAGCTGACACCAAAAAAATACTTTGATAGCTCAGCGTGAGCAGTCGGTCCAACGCAGACATTATCTCTCATTGCGCATGCGTTAATAACGTAAACAAATAATTATTTTGAATTTGTATTGATTTTGTTATTGTCGACCAGTGTTTTAGAGAACAAATAATGACTTTGTCC